TTCGCAACTTGATTTGTATGTCCATCTTTAACCTCAGTATCACAGTTTGGCTTACTGTAGCTTTACAGCATGTCTTGAAATCAGGGATTATAAATCCTCCAATTCTGTTCTTCAAAATGGCTTTAGCTGTTCTAGGTTCTCTGCATTTTCAAATAAATCTTAAAATCAGCTTGTCAACCTATATTTTTTTAAAAACTGAGATTTCTGGTGAGATTCTGGGATGGTGTTGAGTCTACAGATCCATTTGGGAATAATAAACATCCTAACAATTTGAGTCTTCTGTGCCAAGAACATGGTGTGCATGCATGCTAAGTCACTTCAGTCGTGTCCAACTCTTTGTGATCTCATGAACTGCAGGCTGCCAGGTTCCTCTGTTCATGGCATTTTTCAGGCAAGAATACTGAACTGGGTTGCCATGCCCTTCTCCAGGGGATCTTCCTAATCCAGGGATCGAACCTGAGTCTCCTGCCTTGTAGGCAGATTCTTTATTATCTGAGCCACCAGGGACATGGTATCTCTGTTTATCTTTCTTAGGAATGTTTTCTAGGCTTTCAGTGTAGGGGGTCTGTGTACACATCTCTTTTAAAATCTATTCCTAGTGCTCGCTTTGGTACTGCATGTACTAAAATTGGAATGATACAGAGATTGGCATGGCCCCTGTGCAAAGATTGAAAAAAAAAATCTATTCCTAAATATTTAAAAAATATTATTATGAATAGTACATGTGTTTTTCATTTTTTCAACTGCTGAATGCCAGTATTATTTATTATACTGCTAGTATTATTATGCAACTAGTGTCTTGTGATCTGGCTAAATGCATCTATTAATTCTAGTAGGGATTTTTTTGGGGGGGTATATTTCTTAGGATTTTTTTATGTAGACAATTGTCTTTTGCAAACAGTGATAGTTGTTATTACTTCCTTTACAATACTACACCTTCATTTTTCTTGGACCACCAGCACAACATTGGATAGAAGTAGTGAGAGTAAGTATCCTCCTCTTATTCTTAATCTTATGGCAAAGTCATTCACCCTTTCTGACATTTGAGTATGATGATGCCTGCATGCTTTTCTAGATTCTTTGATCAGGTTGGAGAAATTTCCTTTTACTGCTAGTGTGTTACAAATTTTTATCACAATAACATTAAAATGTGTCAAATGATCCTGTCTGTTGAAAAGATTACATTGTTTCAGCCAAGTGTCAGATTCAGAGGAATAGGAGCCTCATAAAATTAAGTTGAAACATCTTTTTCCTTCTGTTTTCTGAAAGAATCTGTGTAAGATTGGTATCATTTTTTCTTAAATGTTGGATAAATTTTAGCAACGAAATCAACTGGGACTGGAGTTTTCTTTGTTAGAAAGGATTATGAGTTCAACTTCCTTAACAGATACAAGGCTATTCCAGTTTTCTTTGAGCTAACTTTTTAATGTTGTTTCATTTATCAAATTAGTATAAAACTGTTTCTAACATTCCCTTATCAACCTTTTAGTTCTGAAAGATCTTTAGTGATAAACCCTTCTTTAATTTTTGACACTAGTAATCTGTTTGGTTTTCTTTTTTTTCTATTAGCCTTCCTAGGAGTTTAAAATTTTTATTAACTTTTTAAAAAGAATCAACTTTTGGTTTCATTCATTTTCTATACTGTTTGTTTTCTATTTAATTAACTTTTGCTCTGAGTTTTATTATTTCTTACTTTCTATTTACTTTAATTTTTTCTTCTAGTTGAAGACAGAAACTTCGTGTGGTAGTCTGCCTCCAACATGGTCCCTAATACAAGTCTTGCTTTATGGGATTTTGCACCTTTGTGTAAGTCTCTCCTACACTGAATATAACTGGTTTATGTAACTAATAAGACATTATAAGACTGGCAGAATATAGCTTTCAGTACTAGGCCTTAATGTCATTACAGCTTCTGCCTTGCTCTCTCATGGATTGCTTGCTCCATAGAAGCCAGCCACAATATCATGAGGACACTTAACCAACCCTGCCTGTTGAGAAGTCCAGGTGGCAAGAAACTAGGTCTCTAGCACAAACTTACTAATTGAGTTTTACAGATAATAAAACAAGACTTACTCATCCATTTAAACATTCAAGTATCTACTATATCAGTGGGTTGGAATTTAAAGATAAACCAGACAAAGCCTCTCCATTTTAAGAATAGATTCTGGTCAAGCAACTCAGTTCATTCCTTCCTCAAACTCCCCTAAAACTTTGGTAAGGAATTAAAGAGGAAAAAAAAAAGCTTAAATCTAGAAGGAAGGGAGGATAGAAAATAGAAAATGTACCATTTTAGAAGATGAAAAACAAGTAGACAAGCTGTAACTGACAGAATTCTCAAAAGGTGTGAGAAATGGCAGTATCAGGTACCTCTGAAACTGGTAATCAAAGAATGGAGGTGGTGCAGAAAAATAAAGACAAAAGCTGTTGGAGAAGCAGGTAGAGTCCTAGATTCCTGGCTAGCTCCATTCACATTATGCAATAACTGCCTCATCTTTATCCCAGCATAATCTGTATTTTCTGGAAAAAGTAAAAGACTTATTGGAGGGATGATGTCAGGCACAGCTGAGGGCACAAGACTGTAGCCAAAACAAGGAATTAAGTGACCATAAATATTAATTCCTGAATGCAGACATTCCCCAAGCCAAAATCCCCAACTTGGCTTCCAGAATGCAGTTAACAAAACTACTACCCTTCAGGCAGGAGTCTGGAAGTTTCATCTCTGGGTAATTGACTAGCTAACAGGAAAGACCTAACTAAGGATACTAACATTATAGGTTCCCTAGGATCAGCCCAATGAAACCACTCTATGATAAAGCTCAAAGTCAACCAGTCCCACTAATGAATTCAAAGCATCAAGTCAATATTTTAGATTCCCACTGAATCATGAATAAATAATCAAGGACACTATATACTTGAAGGAAGCTTCTGAAATGAAGGACAGTGATAAAAACAAATGAACAAACAAAACAGAATTTGGAGGAAGCATAAGCATGTACAAGAAAAAGAAAACTGTAAAATAAATTATCTTCAGTGAGCATAGATAGAGAAGATACTACCATATGTGAAACAAGAATAGTATGCTATTAAAAAATAACATTCAAGAAATGAGAATGATCAGAAATTAAAAGCATAATAGCAAAAATGAAAAAGTGAAGAGGTTTAGAAGATAAAGGTAAGTAAATTTTCAAGAAAGTAAAGTAATATAAGGGAAACAAAACTTCACCAAAGCTATCTGAAAAGTGGAACATCACTTTTAAATTTATGAAGGAAAAAATTTTTCCAACATAGAAACCCAGCTAAACTTTCATTTAGGTTTGTTGATACATTTTCCAATGTGTAAGGCATCAAAAATTTTTGCTTCTTCTGTACACTTTTCTCATGAAACTTCTAAATATTAAAAAATGAGGAGTAGGCAGAGAAATGGATACAGAGAATGATGTTTGATCCCAAGAGGACAGCTGTGCACCCAATATGAAGAACATACTCAATTAGCTGAAGCAATGTGAATCAAGAAACAGATCTGTTGGAAACTGTCACTGAAATTCCTGCTGGAAAATACTCTTTTTCTAATGTGAGGTTAGACTAAATAAGCCTGATATGGGCATCTTTACTTGGCTGAGTTTGACCAGTGTTGATAAACCTGCTGCTTGCCTGTCTGACCCTAAAGAAAGGTTCTGCTTTGTTTGGCTTCTGGGGACTAATTTGAATACTATAAAAATCAAATTGTTGACTTTCACTTTCACTGAGGGATCTTACACCTGAACTTAAGGCAATCATATGAAGCAAGTGACACTAACATTGTGATTAATAAATTACTTATTGGAAATCTGTTTTCCTTGCAAGGAAGCATATTCAGTATGAATTTCTGACTCAAGCAGAATAAATTATAATTATCAAATTCTGCTTATATATTCTGACCATTTTCTTCTAGCAGCAAAACATATAGTGAATATTCTATAGAAAGCTACATTTTACTGAAAAGTACAAGGAAGCAAATAAAGTATATAAAAATAAAACATTTCTCAACTCAGATGTCCTGGGTCAGAGATTTGTCCTGTCAGGAAACTTGCTTCTTAAAGGATACAGGAAAAAGCTGTGAATATTAAGTGTATAAGCTTTGGATACAGAAAAGTTGACCTCTATCACTTAATATAAATGATTGTGCCTCAAATATAAACTATCAGTTGTATTTAAATATACACTTAGTAGGTTATATTACATATATATACATATAAAATACAAACTATGCAATCTTTAGAGGGAGAAAGCCACTTCAGAGAGAGAAAAGTTAGAGACTGTGTCTCTAAACTTCAGCTGGGGGTATCACCTAGCTCATACAACTGTGCAGTTCAGATGAGAATCAGCCATCTCTTGGTTCCTGCAGAAGATTGCTTCTGGGACTCCCTTTGTACGTCAAAAAGCAGTGGATGCTCAAGTCCCCTATACAAAATGATGTATTACGGCCAGCCCTCAGAATCCATGGTACCCAGGTAACATGGGTTGACTGTAATTAGTAAAATGTTTAGCATTCTACCTGTGACAGGTATCTTCAGGGAGATACAACTAATAAATATCAGATTCTATTTTTCTTTTTTGGCTGTACTGTGACTTGTAGCCTCTTAGTTCCCTGACCAGAGATTGAAACCGTGCCCTTGGCAGCGAAAGCATGGAATCCTAACCACTGGACTGCCAGGGAGTTGCCTATAGTTACTCTGGTATTCTTAAAATGCATACTTAGAAAAACAAAATGCAAATTGCAACAGAGTCTGGCCTAACATAAAAAAGTATACTACATTTCACTGACTCTAAAAGCCCAGTTATGGTAAGGTACAACAGTACTGTATTTGGCAAATTTTCCAATTAAATTGTGACAAACCATCCACTGCAAGACATCTCCCAATTTCAGAGATGATGAAATGTGAAAAAAATTTTTTTTCTTTCTTAGATTGGTAAAATTCATTACGTTTAGTTATACTGTTGAGAGTTAAGATACTACATACCATGAAAACAATCATTTTGAAGACAAGATGAAGTCACACAATTAGAATTAAATTGCTTGCTTTCTTAAAGTACTCTTCCTTGTTTATCATCACCACACATTTTACCTAAGCTCCCATTTGTCACTTCCTCAGAGAAAAGTTCCTTCAACACTGAGACTAGAATGGAATCCTTTGTTGCACAGTCCCACTGTATTTATTACTTCTGTGTAACACTCATCATATATTGCTCAATACTAATCTTCTCCAGTTGACCTCAAGTTCAATAAAAACTTTTTTGTTCAGTAAAATATACCAAGTGCAAAGGTTGCAAAATCATACAAATGAGAAAGGAAATATAAGCAAGGAAGGTGGTCAGTGCAATACCTTCCCTCATTATTTTTCACAGCACCAGTACATATTATTGACAGTTTAAAAATAAACGCATTTAAAATTTTAGGCTTTATTTCATTTCATTAAGATAACAGAGAAATTTAAGAAAAATCCATGTTGATATATGTAGATTTGGTTCATTCATTTAACATATATAATAGTATATACCACAATATGACAATTCATGTACTCATTCCAATATTTGTTTATTCTATTATTCACAGGAATCAGGATGTTTCTAATTTTCTGCTACAGCAAAAAAATACCTCAGTATGCAAGATACCTCTATGGTATAAAGGCTTTAAGATATGTTCAATTTCATTTTCACTTCATCTTTTCTAGATATTGAAAACTGTTCTCCAAAGTTGTTGTATCAAATGATACTCCTATAAACAGTGCATGAGACAGTTCCTTATACTTTATCCTCACCAACATCTGTTAAATTTTTATAAATCTGATAGGTGTCAAACGGTACTGAGCTCACTTGCATTTTCCTGACTAATAATGAATTTGAGAATGATTTTCATGGGTTTATTGACCATTTGTATTTCCTCTTTTGTGAATTAGCTTTTTTTTTTTTTTTTACTGATCTCCCTGTAAAGTTTTTGGTTATATATGCTGTAAATATTCTCTTAGCATTTTTTTTTTTTATGTATTTTGAAGAAATGGTTTAGTTCTTTATTAGCAATTCAAAATGCTACTATTTTTCTTTTTTTTTTTTCCCATTTATTTTTATTAGTTGGAGGCTAATTACTTTACATCATTACAGTAGTTTTTGTCATACACTGAAATGAATTAGCCATGGATTTACATGTATTCCCCATCCCAGTCCCCCCTCCCACCTCCCTCTCCACCCCATCCCTCTGGGTCTTCCCAGTGCACCAGGCCCAAGCACTTGTCTCATGCACCCAACCTGGGCTGGTGATCTGTTTCACCCTAGATAATATACATGTTTCAATGCTGTTCTCTTGAAACATCCCACCCTCGCCTTCTCCCAGAGTCCACAAGTCTGTTCTATACATCTGAGTCTCTTTTTCTCTTAGCATTTTAACTTTATGATTCATCTGTAACAAGTAAGTTTTAAATTTTGATGCAGCCAAGCTTATCAATATTTTCTTGAAAAAATTTTAAAGTTTTCTTTTTCAAATTTTAGATTATAATCTACCTAGAAATAAATCTGGAATATGATATGAGATGGGTTTAATTGTTTTTTCTTATAGTTATTTTTTCTTATAGTTAACAACTGCATAAATACCATTTATTAAATATTTTATTCTTTTCCTCAGTGATCCAAAATGCCAACTTAATATTAAATTATATTGATTTTTCAGTCACTTATTTTTCCATATAAATCTTAATATTGACTTTTCAAGTTTCACTATATGCCCTATTTGGATTTTACTTAAAATTCATTTAAAGATTAATTTTTGGAGAACTGACACCTTATTAAACAGAGTCTTCTCAATAAGCTTAATATACTTCATTCATTCAGATTTTTGCTTATATCTTTCATAAATTTTTTTACTTTAGAGACCTCTCAGAAATTTTTCATTCCTGTGTATCCCCTTTTCGACCTAAACTCCTGATGTCATCACACTTGTAAAAGCCCAGCTAAGACATCATTTACTTCTACAAATATTTTTCCAACTTTCCAGATTCAATTAGACACTCCTCCTCCATGTTCTTAGTTTTATTTATTTGTTCTTTGCTTTAGTATGACCAAGAGTTGTGTCAGGCACAGAGGTTATATATACTGGTGAATAAGGTGGACAGTCCCTAGCTTCATAGAGCTTTCATTCTAATAGGAGACAAAGAATAATAAACACATTCAAGGTGACACATGGTATTACCGGGGAAGTATACTGTGCTATAAGAATACTTGAGAGAAATATGTAACTCTTGGGAGATGGTTGGATGGGGGGGAGAAGGTGTCAATTACTGCTTTTCAAGGAAGTAACATGTGGACTGAAACCTGTAAGAAGAACAGAAGTTAGCAAACAACAATAGCGACTAAATATCATAGTACTGACATCCCTGTCTTGCTCTAGATTTTACTGGAAGAGCTCCACTGCTTAACTGTGAAATCATCTACTCTCTGATATGTTTCCTCCCTTGACACCATTTCTTGTCTCTCACACTGCCTACAACAATCATTAACTGCTCTCTGGTTCTTCTTTCTTCCTTAAATGCTAGTATTCTCCATGGCTCTATCCTTTTCATTTCTTTTTTCAATCTAAATACTATCCAAAGGAAACTTTCCATTTTCAGAGTTTCAAATATGGATTTATGTACTAAGGACTCCCAAAACTTTTACCTTTACCTCACTCCACTACAGATTTTCACATCTGCATTTCCAACTACATACTATATGACTCTATATGTTCCACCGAATTCTCAAGCTTTAGACATATTAACATTTGATCTTTTTATACATGGTATAAACTGCCAACTAACCAATGAAAGCAGATCTCCCTCCCATTTTCAGAATCATCATTCATAATGGTATGAATGAGTCACTATTCTGAATGTATGTTGGTGAGTATGCTCTTCTTGAAAGCCAGTTTATAAAATAAATGCAGTTACTGAAGGTTTGGGAATATGAAGGTTGTTTCAAAGACTGAATAATCACAGAATTTATTATTATTATTATATTTTTAATCATAGAATTTTGTAGGCCAGGTATGAGTATATTTTTAAAATTTTTAACATGTTAATATGGCTAGGCTGCTAGTTGTCATTTAATCAAACACAAATCTAGGTATTGTGGTGAAGGTATTTTACAGATATAATTAAATTCCATGATCAGTTGACTTTAAGTAAAGGAGATTATTCTGGATAATGAGGACGGATCTCATTCAGTCAGTTGAAAGGACTTAAAAATGGGGCTGAGGTGTCCCTAAGACAGAAAAGAAATTCCACTTATGGACAGCAGCTTCAGCCCACACCCATTTGTTCTAGCCTGCCCTTCCTGATAGCCTACCCAAAGGACTTCAGACTTGACTAGGTTGCCCCTGCAACTGTGTAAACCCAATCTCTCTCTATATATTTTCTTATGTCCAAAAATCAACTCCTTCAAAAACCTAGTTAACCTTCTGGTCTATTCATTTCCAATCAGTTCCATGTACCAGTAACTACACCCAAACTTTTTTTCTGGACATGGTTTTTAAACCTAGTTTTTCAACTTAATCTTGTAATATGTTCCTTCCTCTCCATCCCACATTAGACCATCACCATCTCTTACCTGAACTAGTGATTGAAAAAGCCTCCTAACTGGCTTCTCAGATTAGTTTTTTTCTCCTCTATCTATTCTCCACACTGCTGCCAGAGGTCTCTTTCTGGAAAACAAATATGATCATGTCACTATCCTTCTTTAAAATTTTTGAAGTCTTCCTATGTACAGGATAGAGGTAAATTTATTTTCTATTTCATTAATTTTTTAAACTCTTATTTTCTTCTATTTTTCTTTGCATTTAATTATGTTATTTTTCTAACTTATTAAGATGAATATATAGGTCATTGATGCTTTTCTCCCTTTCTAATAGGCATTTAAGGTTTTAAATTCTAAGAATTGCTTTAGCTAATCATACCAATTCTGGTATGTACTATTTTCATTACCCTTCAGTTTAAAATATTAAAAATTTTCTTCGACCAATGAGTTACTTAGAAATTTTTGTAATATCCAAAGCAGAACTTTGTAAGTTCCAATAGGAAAATAGCAGCAGTTTATTTCCAAAATTTCCCACTTTCCCCCTAGAACTCATTATAGAGCAATAAAGATAATCTGAAAAGAGAGAGAGAAAAGAAAAGAGAAGAAACTCTGTATCTTCAATGAACCTAGGAGACAATTAAAACCTGAAAGTGCCAAATTGTAAGTAAATATGGCTCCAAATACTTGGGACTAGTACTAGTAGAACCTCTGCAACGGAGAAAATCTTGAAAGATGAAGGAAAGTCTAGTGGGGCAACAGCAGCAAGTTTTTAATCTAGAAAGAAAGGGTCTTGTCCTAAGTGGGAATTGCAATGTTTAGTACTAAAACTCAATGGGGGAATCTCAGAAGGAAGTAGAGAAAGGAGTGTAGAAAGTGTCCTGAGAGTCAACTGAGGGTGAACTAGAAGTGACGGGTCTCAGATAGGACTACCCTTTTAAAACCAAGGCATGCATTTTCCCTCTGTAATTTCAAACTTGAAGAAAAATTAAATGAATAGTACAATGAACTACCATATATCCTTCGCAGATTCTCTAACTGTTAACATTTCAGCTTTAAAAGGCAAGAGCTGAATTCCTTGGTAGCAGAAACTCCTTAAACATACATTATTGAGAGGCAAAGGAGATGTGACTTTATTCTGAAGAAAGAATCCATCAGAACATAAGAGAATAGAGGTCTTGAGCAGAGAAACCTGGAAAACAACCTTGCTTCTAATGTCCTGTCCCACCTCCTTCTCCCACTCCAGTCTCTTCTAATAGGTGGTTTGAGAAAACTTATTCAAATACGAATAACAAAAGTGGCAAATATCCATACAAAAATACCATTTAAAAAATGTAAAAAAAGCAGCAAAACATCCCTGACAAAGAAAACTCAACAGAATATACCACCACAAAATAGATAAAACTATAACACTACTTCTCAATATGAATTCAAAATTTCTTAATGCAGCTATGAAGAAAGATCTCAGAGCACAAACTTAAGAACTCAGGGAAAGACAAACAGGTAACAGGAGAAAATGAAATAAGCACTGTAGAACTCATTAAAGAAATGGAAGAAAAAGACTTTTTAAATTAAAAAAGTGAACACAAAACTACAATGAGCAAGTGGTAAAAATTATACCATAAAAGAAACAGTAAAGAACAAGCAGGATAGAATTTTTTTAAAAGAAAATAAAATGACAGATTAAAAAAAAATGATAAAAGAGTTGAAACTACATCCTCAAAGGGGGTCCCATGTTTTAAATAAAATTGACTCAAAATAGTCAACATTGAGACAAAAAATCCAGCAAAGTAATTGTAAAAAATATTTTCAGCAACCAGACAAAAAAAGAAGGTACTTATAAGGGATAAGAAAATCAGCTGACATCGTAATTCTCTACTGAAAATTCAGTGTCAGAAGACAGTGGGAAAATATCTATAAGAAACTCAAGAAAGTATGATTCACATAAACCATAATGAAAAAGAATATTTAAAAAAAGAATGTATATACATTTATATCTGAGTAACTATGCTGTGCAGTAGAGACTGGCACAATTTATATATCAACTATACTTCAATAAAAAAAACAGAATTAAAAAAAAAAAGTGTGATTCAATCATTTTATGTCTAACCAAGCAGTCCCCTTTAGGAACAAGGCTATAACCATTTATTGACAAATGGTTTTCAATATGCAAAAACTCAGTTCTTACTCATATGAGCCCTTCCTGAAGTAACTTGAGGACAAATTGCAACCAAGAGAGGAGAGGAAAAATTTCAGCAAAAGGACTTGCAATTCACACTAATATACATAACTGTAGATTCAAGATGAAAACAGATGGACACACGGGTGACAGAATGGAATGTAACTGTACATGCTCAAAACCATGGGAATAACAGTATACACAAATACATGAAAAACAGAACAATAATAAAAAGCAGAACAAACTCAGATTGCACACTTTACAGCAACAGAGGCAAAGTTGAGAGTCAAGTAGTAAAAATTTAAGTAAAATCATAATGAACAATAAAATAATGCTATATTGGCTAAAACTAGTTAATAAAGGAGAGGAAGGGAAGGAAGAGAATAAA